ACCCCAGCAGAGCACCCTGACAGCAGCGGCGAAGAGGGGGGTCGAGGAGCAGGTCGGCTACAGGGGGCAGGGGTGGGAGCACAACTAGTGTTCAGGGCTCGGGCTAAGCGGTGTGTTTCGCTGTCCCTCGTTCTGTCTTCGCTCCGTCTCTGCTGCAGAACAAAATCAAAACGATGACGGTCCACGAAATTGCCAAAACACCGTTTAGCTCGAGTCCTCGCATCTGTTACGAGTGATCGCGACCGTCCGGACCAAACATGTCGCAGACATGGAGGCGAGAGCACGATTCCTGAACATGAGCTTGCGAGGACATCTCAGGCAACACGGCAAAACGTCTCGAGGGCTCCCCGTCTCCCCTGCGGGACTCCTCAGCGTTTTTTTTACTAGTGGTAGAATCCTCTGGCGAAACGCTGCTGGCTGTTAGGGAACACGCGCCTTGGCCCCGCTGTCCGATCCCCACCCCTGGGTGGGGAGAGGCACCGTCTCCGCTGGGCTTCGCGGCACCCGTCCCCACGGGACACACCAGGACATACTAACACTGTGTGTCCTCCTCGGAGGCGTGCATCCGACCCGAACCTATACCAAACCAGTCCTGTAGTGCAAATCGTTGCCCGAGCGGTACGGCAAGATAGCGCCTGCCGCAAAGGATGCACTGCAAGAGTTCTCGGGGTGCGCGTCGCCCCTTGGGGGGCCACGCGGGGGCGACGCACACATAATAGTTTTTCGTTTGCGCGTCAGAGCGCGTCTATGCTGGTGTATGGTCTATGCTGCACTGGTCTGATATCACAACTGTACATAGAACGTCGGAGCAGAAAAGCGGTCCCGTGGCTCCGGACAGCGCCATCGGCTAAGCAGAAACTGATCGCGCGGACTGCCACGGAGGGGGGGTGTTGCTGGGGAGCCTGACAGCTCCTAGTCAACCTCCTCCATCTTCGATGCCTCGTCTGCGGCACCCTCGACTTCCTCCAGAGGGGGCAGGTCCTCGTCGTCCCCCAGGCCCTCGTCGTCATCGTCAATGCTGAGGCCGAGCTTGATCATGCGGTGGATGCGCCCTGCGAACTGAGTGGGCTCGTCCAGGTTGAAGCCAGAGGTGAGCAGGGATGTGTCGAAAAGAAGCCAGATCAAGTCCTTGACTGTTTTGTCCGACTTGTCAGCAGACGCCTTCTTCTTGAGCTCACACATAATCGAGTGCTTGGGGTTGACCTCCATGGTCTTCTTGGACACCATGTAGGAGGTCATAGAGTTATCCCTAAGGGCCTGCGCCTTCATAATGCGCTCCATGTTGGCGGACCAGCCATATTCCGAAGTTGTCAACACGCAGGGAGAGTCCGCCATGCGCGAACTGACAACAACCTTCTCCACCTTGTCGCCCAGCACCTCCTTCATCAGCTTGGTCAGCGGCTCGAACTCCGCCTTCAGCTCCTCGAGCTTCTTCTTCTCGTCCTCGTCCTCGAGGTCCAAGCCTTCCTTGGTCGTCGACTTGAGCTTCTTGCCGTCGAACTCCTTCAGCTGCTGCACGGAGTACTCATCTATGGGATCGGTCATGTATAGAACCTCAAGACCCTTCTTGCGCAGCGTTTCCAGGAAAGGCGAGGACGACACCGCCGCGATGCTCTCCCCCGTGATGTAGTAAATGTCATTCTGCCCCTCCTTCATGCGGTCCACGTACTCCTTCAGGCTGATCATCTCATCTCCAGATTTCGAGGTGTGGTAGCGCATAAGCTCCGCGACCTTGGTGCGGTTGGTGGAATCTTCGTGCACGCCAAGCTTGAGGCACTTGCCGAACTGCTCGTAGAACTTCTTGTAATCATCCTTCTTCTCGGCAATCTCCGCAAACATCTCAAGGCACTTCTTGACGAGGTTCTTCTTGATCACTCGCAAGATCTTGTTCTGCTGCAACGTCTCGCGGGAGATGTTCAGCGGCAAGTCTTCGGAGTCAACCACGCCCTTCACAAAATTGAGCCACTCGGGCATCAGCTCGTCGCAATCATCCATGATAAAGACGCGTCGCACGTACAGCTTAATGTTGTTGCGCTTCTTCTTGGATTCAAACAGGTCGAAAGGTGCCCGGCGCGGCACGAAGAGCAGCGCGCGAAACTCCAGCTGGCCCTCAACGCTGAAGTGCTTCACGGCCAGGTGGTCCTCCCAGTCGTTGGACAGTGACTTGTAGAACGATGCATACTCCTCGTTGGTCACGTCTTCGGACTTGCGCATCCACAGCGGCTTGTTCTTGTTAAGCTGCTCCCATTCGTGGGATACCTCTTTGACCTTCTTTGTCTTTTTCTTTTTTTCCTCCTTCTCTTTCTCCTCGTCGACCTCCTCAATCTTCGGCTCATCGCCTTCTTTCTCGTCCTTCTTCTCCTCCTCCTCGTCCTCGGAATCCGTAACTTCCTTCTCCTTGGACTTCTCTACGTACAACTCGATGGGGAACCCGATGAACTCCGAGTGCTTCTTGACCAGATCCTTCAGGCGGCGTTCCTCCAGGAATTCGGACTGGTCCTCCTTTAAATAACAAATGATCTTAGTGCCGCGCTTGATCTCCCCGTGCACCATCTCTGTGTCCTTCTGCACCGTGAAGGAGCCACCAGCCCCAGACTCCCAGATGTACTGCTCGTCGTCGTTATTCTTGCTGATCACGCGCACCTTGTCCGAGACGAGGTACGCGGAGTAAAACCCGACTCCGAACTGCCCTATCATGGAAATGTCGCCGCCGGCTGCCATTGCCTCCATGAAGGCCTTGGTGCCGGACTTGGCGATGGTGCCAAGGTTGTTGATCAGTTCGTTCTTGGTCATCCCGATGCCAGAATCCTCGATAGTGATGGTGGAATTAGTCTTGTCGGGGACGATCTTGATATAGAAATTCGGCTGGGCCTCGATCTTGTCAGGATCCGTGATGGACTCATACCGGATCTTGTCCAAGGCATCCGACGCATTCGAAATGAGCTCGCGCAGGAAGATCTCCTTGTTGGAGTAGAAGGTGTTGATGATCAGGCTCATGAGCTGCTGAATGTCAGCATTGAATGCGAATGTCTCTGCCATGGCTACAGTGAGGGTTCAACGACTAGAAAGGCCTACAACAATCTGCGCTCACGGCGAAACTTGAGCCAAAATGGCTACGGAGGAAACGCACACATAGCATTAGGTCGGCAATATCCTCCCACGGGCGGATTTTGGAAGTAAAAAAAAATCAGCAATATGCAAAAATGTCCAGCAGAGCCACAACATATCGTCCCCTGACTATGGTTAACATGTTATCATGTTCCTCCTGTAGAAGGGCATGCCCGACTTAAACATCGGATTTGACTGTTGGGGTGACTGAAAGGGCCCCTGGGACACACAAATTAATACACACAATATTTTCCCATTTTTCATGTTTGTTTTCAATATGTTGCCATATGTTCCCATATTTTCACAGGATTCCCCATGTGTTCCCATATTTTCTGGATGTTCGTCTTCCCCCCCACCCATATTTTCCAACATTTTCTGGGGAGTTGTCGATTCATTGTGTCTGTGTGTTTTCTTCCCCTTCCGAGTGACGCCGACTCCCACCTCTCGGGTCGGGCGAAAGGGAGGGATAGCAAAGGGGGGGGGGAACATCAGCTCACGCAGCTGATTTTCCCGGCGCCTCCCAGCGCCGGAGGCTACTGCGCATCGAGGAATGGGGCCCTCGGTGAGGCCGAAACCAGCTGCACGCCGCAAATTTCGTAACCCCCCCTTTCCCATGGCCCCCCCTTCCTCCTCCTCCTCCTCCTCCTCCTCCTCCTCCTCCTCCCCTCCTCCTCCTCCTCCTCCTCCTCCTCCTCTCCTCCTCCTCCTCCTCCTCCCTCCTCATCCTCCTCCGCCTCCTCCTCCTCCTCCTCCTCCTCCTCCCTCCTCCTCCTCCTCCTCCTCCTCCTACCTCCTCCTCCTCCTCCTCCTCCCTCCTCCTCCTCCTCCTCCTCCTCCTCCTCCTCCGCCTCTCCTGACCTCCTCCTCCTCCTCCTCCTCCCCCTCCTCCCAATCCCCGCCTTTCGTCCAGCCCGAACCCCCCCCTCGACGGGGGGGCAGGCCGGAGAGGCCGAGGAGCCCCGACCCCCCCCCGGGTGGGAGGCCGCGGAGCCCGGCGATGGGCGGGCCGCAGGAGGCCTCGGCACGGCCCTGCCGCACGGGGGGCTGGGCGAGGGCATCGCGGCCCTGCTGGGGGGCGACGCAATCTATACATATCCACTGCTCCCTGGCCAGGCCCATCCTGAACACAGCAGCTGTGTATACGCCACGCCCTCCTGGTTTGGCCAGGAGGGCGTATACACAGCTCCTGGGTTCAGGAAGGGCCTGGCCAGGGAGCAGTAGATATGTATAGACTTCGTCCCCCGATGCTGGGGGGGGGCCCTCGGATGGCCCTCCCTCGGCGCTGGACAAACCTCACTTCAGTAGACCTTCCCTTAGTCAAAACGGCCTGGGACCGAAACCGGTGGACCTGGACCCGCAAAAATGACGGCCGCGACGCACTCCCGCGAACCGTTCCCCTAGTCGTAAGGGTTCCGAATGGACCAGACATGATGGGCCAAGCTCGGGGATTTGCGCACGATCGGGGGGCGCCCGTCCTCGACAGGGGTCCGCCCGACCAGCCCCCTTGGGGTGCATCCCCGAGTCCCTCCTCTCTGAGTGGCTTGACCTGTAGTGGAAAATCGGGGGGCTCGCTTCGCGCTTCGCGCTCCGCGAAGCGCGAAGCGCGATTGACTTCGCGCTCTCGCGCCGCCCCCCAGAGGGAACACAGGAGGACACGGAGGAGGGCGGGAAGGAACGAGGACCGCGAAGCGCGAAGCGCGAATATTTTCGCGCCCTCGTGGGAGCCCTTGTCTGTCACTGAAAATCGGGGGGAGGGGGCGATAAACCGCCTGAGGCCCCTTCTCCGACGCCTCCAACCCGGCGGCGGCGGCGGCGGCGTGCTGCAGGCGGGCGGGGCGCGGGCCTGAGGGTCGGCGGGCTCGGCGACGGCGCTGTCCTCAAGGGGGGAGGGGGGGGGAGGGCGTGCTGTGGGGCCACGCGGGGCCGAGGCGAGGCGCAAGCCAGGCGGTGGGGCGGCGGGGGGGGGGAAGGGTTAGGAGGCAACTACTGGGAGGTCTTCGCCGGAAAGAGCAGGGAGGAGATGAAGCCCCATTGGGGGGCTGCTACGCCAGGTTGGGCCGCGAATTTCGCGGGACTAAGCCGGGTCGAGCCGGATTAAGCCGGACTTCGGACCAGGGGAAAGTCCGAATCAGAACTCGACCTCCCGGGAGTTGCATCCGAAGGAGAGGGGGGGAAGGAGGGAGAGGGCGAGAAGAGGGGGGGGGTCCAATCGACTGCGTCGCTTCGGCACTCCTGACCCTGGCCCGCGCAGCCCGGGCCGGAGCGGGAGCGCGGGCGAGACCGCGGGGCCGCCGGATCGGTGGAGGGCAGAGGGTCAAGGGTAAGGGGTCAAGGATAGAGGGCAAAGGGCAAAGGGTAAAGGGTAAAGGGTAGGAGGAGGGCAGGGGAGGGGTGGAGGGGGCGGAGGGGGGGGGAGATAGGGGGAAGGGGGACATGAGAGGAAGAGGGAAGAGGGGGGGGGGAATGCGGAGAGAGGGGAGCAAGGGGAGGGGGAAAAGGCAAGCTAGGTGCGCTCGCGTCATATCTGACGTCCTCCCCCCCTCTCCCACGCTTGTCGTAGCGGACCTGTGGCTCCGCGCGCGCGTGCGTAGTGGGTGGTGGTGCACGTGCGTGCGTGCGTGTGTGCGTGCTTGTCGTGGTGGTGGTGGTGGTGGTGGTGGTGGTGGTGGTGGTGGTGGTGGTGGTGGTGGTGGTGGTGGTGGTGGTGGTGGTGGTGGTGGTAGTGGTGATGGTGGTGGTGGTCATGGTGGTGGTGGTGGTGGTGCTGTGAAGCCACTTGATCATTGGAGTAGGAAGGCACTCAGAGTAGATTGGCATCTGGGATATCCAAAAATACCTACCTTCAACGACCGATGAGTCCAAGGACACACAAATCCGCCGACCCCTTGGGGATCATCGGCGTGTGAGATGCTTCCCCCTCCCCAAACCCCTCCCCCGGGAGCCCGGTCCGGTCGATTTGGAGGGGGGGGGGGTCCGGGACGAGCGGTTCACGGAGCTTTTCCTGGCCCAAGAGGGCTTCAAGACGGGCCACGAAGCCCCCAAGAGGCCTCCAAGACGGCCCACGAAGGCTCCGAGAAGCCAAACGACCGCTCCAAGACGCCCACGATGGCCCCAAGACGGGCCAAGAGGTCTCCAAGACGGCCCCTGAGGTCCCAAACAAGCCTCCCAAGAGGGCCCAAAGAGTCAAAAATTGCTGATTTTCCATAATGTTTTTCGATGTTTTTTGCTTTTTCGCCTTTTCGGCTTCCCGACGCTCCAAGACGGGCAAAGAGGCCCCAAAGATAGCCCCAAGATGGCCCAAGAGGCCCCCAAGACGGCCTCCAGACGGCCCAAGACGGCCCCAACACGGCCGAAGAGGTCCCCAAGACGGCCCAAGAGGGCTCCAAGACGGCACCACGAGGGGCCCAAGAGGGCGACCAAACATGTTGAAACTCTAGCTTTCTGCCCCCAGGAGCCCCAGGGGGCCCCAAGAGTGCCCCAAGAGGCCCCCAGAGGCCCTCACGAGGCCGCCCAGACGCCCCAAGGAACCCCCAAGAAGCACCCCAGAGGCTCCGAAACGGCCCCCGAGTGGCTCCAAAACTCGCAGTGTCGCTGTCCGCTCGGACCTCCCCGCGGAACTGCCCGAGACCCTCTGGCGGTGGCGGCGAACAGACACCAAACAAATATCACTCGCCTTTTCACCCCTTCGCAGCTTCTACTACCCCAGATTGGCATAAACAAGGGGTCGGCGGTGTGGCGTAAGCCTCAGAATAAATACACACACGCACAAATCACAGGATTCCCCATATGTCCCAGATTTTCTGGGTGTTTGTCTTCCCCCCCCACTTCCCATAGTTTCCCATATTTCCCAACCATCCTGTGGTGTTGGGTCCTCGCTTTGAAGAGACGTCGCCCCGCGTTCGCCTCTCCTCCTCTCCTTCCCCCTCCTCCCTCCTCCCTCCTCCCACCATCATCAGCGTCATCATCATCATCGTCGTCATCATCACCGTCATCACCATCATCGTCATAATCCTCACGACCATCATCATCACCATCATCATCATCGTCATCATCATCATCATCAGCCCCTTGAGCTAAATGGCTACGGACCTCCTGCTCCTCCTCCTCCTCCTCCTCCTCCTCCTCCTCCTCCTCCTCCTCCTCCTCCCTCCTCCTCCGTCCTTTTCCTGCTCCTACTCCTCCTCCTCCTCCTCCTCCTCCTCCTCCTCCTCCTCCTCCTCCTCGTTATCCTCCCTCCTCCTACTCTTCGTTATCCTCCTCCTCCTCATCCTCCTCCTCCTCCTCCTCCTCCTCCTCCTCCTCCTCCCTCCCTCCCTCCCTCCCTCCCTCCCTCCCTTCCCTTCCCTTCCCTTCCCCTCCCTCCCTGCCCCCCCACTACCACCACCACCACACACTTCACCCCCCTCATTGTCCCCGTTTTCTCCCTCCTGTCCCTCGCGATCCCCCCTCGCGCCCAGGCGGCCTCCTCCTCCACTTCCGAAGTGGCCAGCGCCATCTGGGCCGTCGGAGAATCCTCTGGCGCAAGAGGGTGGGGGGGGGGGCAGCGACCCCCGTCGAGCTGCGAAGCTTGCAGCCGCCGCGGCCGTCGCCGTCGTCGCCGTCCTCGCTGTCCTCGTCGCCCTTCCTCCGCCCCGTCCGTCCGCCCCTTGGCGGCGCGCAGACGGGGGTCGGGGGAAGGGGGGGGGGCTTCTTACACTCGGAGGGCGCCAGCCCCACATCAACAGATAGGGCCCGCGCCTTCATGGAAGCAGGGGGGTGTCCAAAAGCCCCCATCTGCGCGTGTCGGGGGGGGCGACCATAAAGGGGGGGGCGCAAATCCGAGGCCGGCGGCGCGCGCGCGGTCAAAGGGGGGCCGGGGATGCATTGGAATAAATAGAAATACAATGAAATCTAAGGTGACGTTATGGCCCCCGCCATGATATCCACCCTTCCCTAATCTTAGGTCGGGCATGTCCTCCTACGGGCTGATTCTGGACGATAGAAAAAAGAGCCCAAGCATACAACATACAAATAGCTGTACATGAATATATACACATATATATATATATATATATATATATATATATATATATCCGCCGGCCCCCTTGTGGGGCCACCAGGCTGTAGGCGCGGGGTTCGCAGCCTCCTGTACCAGTTGTAGCTTGTAGCTTCCAGTGTTACAGTTCTGCTTCTTGCTGGTTACTGTAAGTAGTTGATTGTTCTACTTCTTGCTGGTTACTGTAACTAGTTGATTGACCGCGCGAGGGGGGGGAGGCCCAAACCGGCTTTTTAGCGTCCCCTGGGCGCGTTGTCTGAATTGCTGGGAGGGCTCGAAATCGCCATCCCTCACGCAGATCCGCGGGGTCAGGGTCCAAAAACACAGGGGATTTGCCACATTTCTGAAATTCGGTGCCACCCCTCACGCAGATCCGCGGGGTCAGGGTCCAAAAACACAGGGATTTGCCACATTTCTGAAATTCGGTGCCACCCCTCACGCAGATCCGCGGGGTCAGGGTCCAAAAACACAGGGGATTTGCAACATTTCTGAAATTCGGTGCCACCCCTCACGCAGATCCGCGGGGTCAGGGTCCAAAAACACACGAGATTTGCAACATTTCTGAAATTCGGTGCCACCCCTCACGCAGATCCGCGTGGTCAGGGTCCAAAAACACATGAGATTTGCCACATTTCTGAAACTCGGTGCCACCCCTCACGCAGATCCGCGGGGTCAGGGTCCAAAAACAAAGGGGGTGTGCCACATTTCTGAACTTCGGCGCCACCCCTTACGCAGATCCGCGGGGTCAGGGTCCAAAAACATTAGGAATTTGCCACATTTTTAAAATTCGGTGCCACCCCTCACGCAGATCCGCGGGGTCTGGGTCCAAAAACACAGGGGATTTGCAACATTTTTGAAATTCGGTGCCACCCCTCACGCAGATCCGCGGAGTCAGGGTCCAAAAACACAGGGGATTTGCCACATTTCTGAAATTCGGTGCCACCCCTCACGCAGATCCGCGGGGTCAGGGTCCAAAAACACAGGGGATTTGGCACATTTCTGAAATTCGGTGCCACCCTTCACGCACATCCATCGCAAGGCGTGGTAACCCAAACTGCGAGAACTCCCTCGGCCCTTTAATCGCAAGGTGTGGTAACCAAGCCCGTAAACCATACACGTCTTACCAATCGCCAGGTGTGGTAACCCCTCTTGTGATCAGTTGGTTTTGCTGATTGCGAATCGGCTTCGCATGAAGTTTCGATACTGCTTCACGACAGCGCCAAGGCCTCATGACTTAGCTCTTCCATGGCCCATTCTCCGAGAGAGGGGGCCGGCGGCAGGGGGCGAAGCCCTTACGGATAATATATATATATATATATATATATATATATATATTATATATATAAATAATACATATATATATATACATATATACATATATACATAATACATACATACATATACATACATCATACATACATACATACATACATACATGCATGCATACATACATACATACATACATACATACATACATACATACATACATACATACATACATGCATGCATGCATACATACATACATACATACATACATACATACATACATACATACACACATACGTACATACATGCACACATACATACATACATACATACATACATACATACATACATACATGCATGCATGCATGCATGCATGCATGCATGCATACAGACATACAGACATACAGACATACAGACATACAGACATACATACATACATACATACATACATACATACATACATACATATATACATATATACATACATATACACAGTATTGCATTGGCACTTCGCGACATGCGCCTTGTGCCGGACGCTACCCCCGCAAAACAATGGATCCTCGCTTGTTTCAGCATGGGGAACCTCGGGGCCTGGACAGGCGATCGGCTCATTTTTCTGATGCTACTGACGCCTGCTGACACCGCGTTCGCCGGAAGCGCTTGCACGCTTGCGCGCAGGAGTGGGGATGGAATGAGGTTTTCTTCACGCGCGAAGGTGCTGGCAAACTACGGAGCATCAAACTGTTGCGATGGCGCCTGTCCATGAACGGGAAACGGGAGGGGAGCAGGGCTGAGGGGGGGGGCTGAAGAGGCGGAAGGGGGGAGGAGGGGGGCAGAAACGGGGAGAAGGTCCAGAGGAAGGGGCGGGAGAATGAGGATGGCCATCGGATGCCACGAACGTGGAGGTCGACGAAGAAGGCAGGGGGGGGGGAGAGAGAGAGATAGAGAGAGAGACAGACAGACAGACAGAGAGAGAAAGAGAGAGACAGAGTGAGAAAGAGGGTGATACAGGTACGGGAAAGCCAGGCGGGCTGGCGTGAGCGCAACAAGCGCACGGAGAAAGCCGTCTGGACGTGTTGGGGGCTCTTTTGGGCCGTCGCGGGGCCGTCCTGGGGCCTTCTTGGGCCGTCTTGGGGAGCTAGAGCCCTCCGGAGGTCTTCTGAAGCCATCTAAGGCCCTTTTGGGGGCCTCCAATGGCCTTCTTGGGGATCTCCCGTGGCTTCCGTGGGTCTCTTTTGGGAGCCTTCTGGGGGCATCTTGGGCTTCTTGTGGACAATCTCGGGGCGTTCTGGGGCAGACTTGGGACCCTCGAGGGCCGTCTTCAAACCCTCTGGGGGGCCTCTTGGGCAGTCTTGGGGCGTTATCGGGGGCCCATCGGGCCGTCTTGGGCGCTGCAAGGATCCCAAAAGCGGATATGCTGAAAATATACATGTTCATAAAGAGGCGATGTTTGCTTCTTCGGAGCTCCCTCAATCGCCTCTTGGGCCGTCACGGGGGCCTCGTGGGCCGTCTTCGGACCAGCGAGGTTCCTCTTGGAGCGCTCTTTTGCTGTCTTGGGTCTCTCTTGCGCCTCTCCGATGAACCCTCTGATCGCTTCGACTCTGCTCGCAAGGCCCGGCAAGGCGCCCCGGGGGGCCCGGAAGGGCCAGCGGGCCTTTTCCAGAGACGTCCCGGGGACCGCGGAGACGTCCGAAATGCGCCCGGGGCGCCCTTTGGGGAGGGCCCAGCTTAGGGGGAGGGGGGTCCGGGTAACAAAGATATGAGAATAGCAATAATATGACTATATTTTGTTATGAATTACAAGGCAGTTTTTAACACATGGGATTTTTGAAAGGAAAAATCTAACTTTAAACACATGGTTAATTACCGAATAAATTCATGCATGAACTCATCCTTGTTTTTAATACTAAATCCCTGCATTTTTCATACGTGATCCGCACGCGGAGCATGTATTAAAGCCGGCGCTGTATTTTCTTACACATTACTTCTTGACTATTCCTCGGCCGCCCCCGAGCGCGGCCGCTCCCCCCCCTCCCCTGGTCCCAGGGAGGCCCGCGAGTCGCCCCTGCCCCCCCCGCCCGCCCAGCGGAGGGGGCCTCGCACTGCCCGCCCGCGGCCTCCGGGCCTCGATGTTGAAGGGGCCCTGGGACACACAAATAGATACACACACAAATAAAAGGATTCCCCGCATTTTCCCATATTCTCTGGGTTTCTGTTTCCCCCCCCCCACTTCCCATATGTTCGCATATTTTCTGGGAATCGACGAATAATTGTGTCTGTGTGCTTTTTCCCCTCCTGACAATCTACAGTCGGAACGATAAGGAACGAGGGCCTCTTTTCCCACAAGTGACACGTCGATCTGCCATGGAGAACCCAAGGGAAACCGAAGGCAAACTATAAAACAATACAGGAGCACCGAGCCCCCCCCCCAGACGAAAAGGGTTCCTTTTTCAGCGCCCCTACTGCACCGACTGGATGCTGCTCCCCCGCGCGAGCTTCGCAAGAGAGCTCGGGGAGGCGACCACTGCCAAGGAGCTTCCCAGCGAGTACACACAGGCCAATGGCAAAGGCGATGTAATCGACGGAGTGCGCGAAGCGGTTGGCCGCCCACCAGGAAACGGAGCGTGAGATCCCCACCACACGAATTCTGCCAAACATGTCATTCTTCGATCCTCCTCGTTGTCACCCCTCCTGGGAACCGCTGGCAACCCCTCCTCGGACCCCCCCGCTGCCCGCGGTTTCCGCCGGCCCCCGCGCCCTCGCTGCGCTATGTGCGTCCGCTGGCCGCCACTTCGATTCCAAATCATGCGCGATTTCGCGCCGTTGCCGCACCGCCCAGCTGGCCATCGCTCGGACGTCCATTCCATGTTTTTTTGGTTTCGTGCGCGTTTTTATCGCCAAATGATCAAGGATGCTCCTCGATGGTCCTCGCCGAGAAGAAAATGCACACATCCGAGCGATGCCAGGCCAGAACGCGAAGCACTTCCACATCTCCATGACGGGGCTGCGCGAGAAGCCCCAGTGAGCGGCCTCCTCGAGGGGGGGGCGACCGCGCGGCGGCCGCCGCCCAAAAAAGAGGGTTGCAAACACCTCATGACGCTGTGAGTCTTCTCCCGCCCCGGGGCCGACGCCCTCGTCCGCGTGCGCTTGCCATTTACGTAGGATCTGCGGCGGGCGGAGCAGGGCTGGGCTGCCGCCGCTGTTGCCGGCGC